TTGTCCAGTTTATCCCCTGCCGAACAGAAGCTCTACGTCGCCGCCAAGAACGGTTACCCGTGGGTGCTGGAGACCCCCAGCTGCAGTCTGACCGAGTTGGAGATCACCCAGGCAGCGTTCCGGAATGCGTCGCCCTTTCAGTACTTTTACTTCAGGACTGGAACGGGACGGCTGAAGACTTCGGATAGGGAAAAGAAGGAGGGCCCGTCCTGCTCTCCGAAGAGCGACCTGGAAAAACTAAAGATGGGAAAGCTGAAGGCCAAGATTCTCAGCCGAGGGCTCCCCGTTCGATTCTATAGAAGTCTCCAGGAGTTGGGAGAGCTGGTCTTCAAGGACTGGTCTGTTGTGATAGAAAGCCTTCACCCCACCACCGTGAGGATGGCACACGTAGGTGAGCAGACGTACAGGTAACTGGGCTCATGATGAACAGGAGGCTCATGTGTTGGATGTCTCCCTCGGTGAAAGGCATTTTTTAAATTAAACGATGAACCGCATCCCTCGTGCATTTAAAGTTGTTGCCATATCCTGTGGCGTGCATGTCCCCATTGTTTTTTGAAGCTGAGAAGAAGAGCAAATAAATTAGTCGTGGACAATTATTTAGGAAGGTATGAGGCTCAGAGAAGGCCGTGAAGACCTGGTTGGGCGCATAAAGATGTCCAGCACTGAGTCTCCACTAGGCCCAATTTTGTTCTCCCTCCTCCTGTCACTCCTGCCCCAGGAGACGTTGGGCCATGTCCCCAAATATTTTGTGTATTATCACTGGGGGAGTCTACTGGTGTCTTGTGGGTAGAGGCCGGAGAGTCTGCTAAACGTTAAAAAATGCAGAAGATAGTCCACTTAAAAAAGAATTATCCAGCCCCACATACCAGTAATGCCAAGAGTGAGAAACCTGATCTGCAGGGAAGGGACGGAGAAGAGGGGTAATCTGGGTCAATCGTCTGATGTCTTGTGCATATTATCATATTTAATCTTATCGGTTAGCCCAGCAAGGGAGGCATTATAATTCCTGGGTGGCTTTTTAAAATTCTGACTTATCTTTGTTACTGTTATTTCTATTTGCTGCTATTGCTATTAGTCACCATCGAGTTGGCTGTGACCCACAGTGGACTTAAACACAACAAACATCGTCGGGTCCTGCCTCATTTTCATGGTGGTTGATACACTTGAATCCATTGTTGCATCGGTTGTGTAGTGACTTTCAACCTGAGGGCTTATCTTCCAACTTGATATCGGACAATATTCTGTTGTGATTCATAAGCTCTTCATTTGCTAATTTTCAGAGGTAGATCTCCAGGGCTTTCTTCCTAGTCTGTCCGAGTGTAGACGCTCCACTGCAAAACCTGTCTATCAGGGGCCCTGCTCGTATTTGAACTACCATGGACATAGCTTTGTGCATCATATCGACATGTAAGCTACCGCACTAAGATAAACTGACACGTGGGCAGTGGACCTCCCATTTTGTAGGTGAGCGGATGGAACACGGGGTATAGCAGTTAAGTCATTTACCCAACGTCCTGCAATGAGAGGGTGCGAATTTACTCAGGATTTGAACCC